ATGATCTCCTGGTTCATAGGTAGACACTCAGCCACTGAGCCACTCAAGCCCTGGGATCCCATTATTGAGATCTAGCTGGCAATCAAGGCACACACCCTTGACTGGCATTGAACCTGGGACCCTTCAGTCAGCAGGCCAACATTCCATCCACCAAGCCAAACCAGCAAGAACATTCATCTTATTTTCTTAGCCCAGTCATGATTCACCTTCCCTGCCCCTAGGCTGCTGGATCAAAACTGCCATTCTGTCATCAAAGAAGGAGATGGCTGTTAGGCGGGACACCTCTGTGGCTGCTACACTCGGCAAAAATATTCTTTACAAGTAAAGAAAAAATAAAGACAATTAAAGACTTGCAGGGGCTCAACAATTATGCCAACCACTTCAACCGTCCAAGCAAACTCTTGGGGGAGATCCAGCTGAAAGACATTGGAATCAGAACTAAGTTTTCATGAAGGAGAGATGAGGTGACCATCCAGCAGTTATGCTCCTAAACCTTTGACCCTCTTTCAGTTCCTCTCAAAGTCTCCAGGCTCCTTCCCTTCTAGGGGCTTCACAATGCCAGGAATTGCCTCATCCCTGTCTTTGCCCAAGGATTCATTCTCAATCTTTCAAACTGTAGCGTAATAATTAACTTCTTCTATAGATCTTCCTTATATCTATATTTTAATCATGATCACCTATCACTGGTTCCCCCAACCCCCCTTCTTTTTCTTCTTATCTCATCATATTATATACTTTAAGTTTTTTATATACAAACTAGGTATATAAATTCCATGCATGGGCAGGTCCCCTCAGCCCAACCTGCACCCTCTCCGGTCTGGGACCCCTTGGGGGATGTCCGACTGACATCCCTCTCACAATCCCGGACCATTGGCTCCTAACTGCTCACCTGCCCGACTGCCTGATCGCCCCTAACTGCCTCTGCCTGCCTGCCTGATTGCCCCAACCACCTTTGCCTGCCTGATGGCCCCTAATCACTCACCTGCCTGCCTGATTGCCCCTAACTGCTTCTGCCTTGGCCCCCACCACCACAGCTTTGTCCAAAAGGACGTCAGAATGATGTCCAGAAGGTCGTTCGGCCGTCCGGTCTAATTAGCATATTATGCTTTTATTATAGATTATTAACCTGCGCCAACAGTTTCTCAGGGATATTGTCTCCCCTGCAGACACTGACATTATAATGACTGCTCTGGTAGGAAATGGGATCATGGTTTTCCCAAACTATAACTCGATTTGGGGCTTTCTCATACTCACAGGCATGAACCTTGGCAACAACAGGCTCACCATCCAGGCATTAGATTTCTACTTGGTATGATTTTTTCTCCTCTTAGGAAGTTTCAAAAAAAGTAACTTTTGGTATTGGGGCTTTATCTTGAAATCCTAGTACGTTTTCTTACTTGGCAAGGGGAGGTGTGCCGTATTAAATCTGAAACTTACAGAGAAATCTGTGACCCTCATTATTTTTGTGTATTTAGTTACCCTCTCTCCCCTTCTTTTTCTTTTTGTTCTTGGCTTCCTGAGACCTCCTGTGCATCATTTCTCACTATTAGACTTGCCAGAATTCTATTCCTTTCCTTTCTTACCTCTTAAATATTTCCTTTAAAGTTGGGGACCACTGCACCTCTATTTTAAGAATAAATAAAATCATATGCATGTCTGGTTTTCAGCATGGACATAGAAAATGGGGTTTCATTTTTTTATTGTTTTCTCTGTCGTCAAGATTGGCTTTGGGAAAACATTCATAAAAAGCTATCCCGTTGGATGATGTGAGGAGAAGGCATAGCCCTCTTCTCCTCAGGTTCTTTTTAGACCACAGGAAAGAGATGTAATTGTTGACTCTGAGTCTCATAAGGTCAGACATATTCCTTAATTTATTTCCCATAATCAATAATGGATATAAAGACACCCACTGACCAGAGCTGAGCCTGAGTCATAAAATGGGCTATGGTGCCCTGGCCGGTTTTGCTCAATGGATAGAGCATCAGCCTGCAGACCAAAGGATCCCAGGTTTGATTCCGGTCAAGGACATGTACTTTGGTTGCAGGCTCCTCCCCAGCCCAGACCCTGGTCAGGGATCCCGAGGGAGACAACCAATCAATGTGTTTCTCTCATATCGATGTTCCTCTGTCTTTCCCTCTCTCTTCCATTCTCTTTAAAAAGCAATGGAAAAATACTCTTGCGTGAGGATTAACAAAAACAAACAAAATATAAATAAATAAAGATAATTAAATGTTTTTTGTTGCTTTTTTTAAAATGGGCCATGGCATTAAGACAGGAAATCCTGAGTTTAGGGCCCTAATTCTGGAAGGCTCCCTCTCAGATGCCCAGGTCTGACCCATCCTGCCCTTGGTGCTAGAGAGGAAATGAAACACACCAGTGAACAGATATGTCATGCCAGGGCAGGGCCCAGCAAAGAGCTATTGAATATAAGGTTATTTTTAACAATCGAAACCACACGAAGGCTGCCACCTTGCTTTCTCCCCACCCGGCTGAGGCCCAATTCCTAAAGAAAGGAAAACCTGAATTCATAACCTTCCTCACTTTGAGACTTCCTTTTCTGCCTCAGTATCTGACTTCCTTCTATTGCCCCTTTAATGGCTGACTCATTTCTCCTTTCTCGCCCTTATTTTTGTGCGCTTTTTTGATAAAGGAAACCTGGCTCCAAAATATCTGTATGTCTATGTTCTGATTCCACATTGTAGTTCTCACGGTCTCATGCCTGGTGTTCCCTCTCCCTACTGCACTTGTTTCTAAGGATTGGTGCGAACTTACCACACCACACGGAGGCTCTGCGGGCTGGTCACAGCGTCTGCCTCGGGGTCCATGACCCGGAACCCCTGGAAGGCAGAGTGAAGTGGGGGACTTGGTGCACCTGGCTGGTGCGCCCATTCCCCAGCTGCTGGGAGTGTTGGCTACTAAAGCTTCACACCTGCCCCCTCTCAGGGGACCTGCCCTGATGAGGAGCAGCCTCACCTCCATGGTTCCCTGAATGGCCAGGGGCCAATGACACAGGGAAGCCAGCCTGTCGTCTCAGTGAGGCAATAACTCCGTGTGCGCACCTGCCTCTCCCCATCCCCCACCCACTGGGGCCAGGCCAAGACCACATCGTTGCTTAGCCTCTCTCCCCTGCCCTACCTGGCCCCCCCCTCCCTTAACTCCTCTTTCCTGCGAGCATTCCCAAAATAAAGCACTTTGACGGCTTCTCCATCTCAGGCTCTACTCCAGGAGACACTTCTAAAATGCTGGTAATCATATTTCACATTGGACTTGAGGTTCAACAGGAAAGGTGTAAGACTCCAAATCTAAGCTTCTGGGACCTGATATCCCTGTCACTAAAGACATTCCTGGGGTAGAGGGTGAAGTCCCATGTGTGTGGGGCTGGAAACAGGAAGAGGAGGCCTTCCATGGTGCCATTATTCTCTCTCATCTTTGATGCTTCTGTCTCTCTCCCCCTCTCCCTCCCTCTCTGAAATCAATAAAAACATATTAAAAAAAAAAAAAAAAGATTTGGGGCACCATGCTTGGAATCAAAGGCTCCTTCATTACTATGGTGTAGTTTTTAAAGTGATTTATTACATTTTTATCATCTGAAAATGTGATGATCACAGTCATTATTAATTAAAATGAAACAAAAAATAAGTATAGTACTTTATGTTTTAATTTAATGTTTTTAATTAATATGACTAATTAATTAATTAATGACTAATTGTTGGTAAGGAAACTATGGATTATTACCACTTATTATTATCAAAACGCAGTCACAATTTCCTAGGCATATATAGTGGCTAGTAGTCAGATAAACTAATACATATAAAGTTAGATAACACTGTACTGTTTTCCAATCCCAGCTGGACAGTGATCCACTTTCATAATCGCCATGATATGCACATAAAAGAAATGCCTATCAAAAAAATCTTACAAATATTACTTATCTCCAGTTACTGATATTAATAGTACCAATAATGTGAATCAGACCTCCTCACATCTCTGTCAGTCTAACGGAGAACTTTGAATAAATTCCTATGGTCACATATCCGTCACGACCACTTACAGTTGCTTTTCAACAGGGGCATAAAATACTTAATAAAAACTACCTTACACCTAAGGAAATAAAGATTCACAATCGCAGAAACTATACCATGAGCATAAATAACTCCATGCAGGGTCCCAGACAACGAATTGATCCCACAAATTCACCCAGAACAAGGCAAGCCATCCGTTCAAATACCATACCCTGCTCCAATCGCTGGTACCCAAGTAAGCCCTTGGCCCGCTCAGAGTTATTCCTGTGGGCTCACCAGGGATGCCCCACTCACTGAGGACTAAGTCCCTGGTCATCCTGCACTCCCATTTTTGCCCTTGCTGAGAACCTTTAAAAAAAAAATTTGATTTTTTACAGAGAGGAGGGAGAGGGATAGAGAGCTAGAAACATTGATCAGCTGCCTCCTGCACACCCCTTACTGGGGATGTGCCTGCAACCAAGGTACATGCCCTTGAGCGGAATGGAACCTGGGACCCTTCAGTCCGCAGGCCGACGCTCTATCCACTGAGCCAAACCGGTTTCGGCATGAGGACCTATTCATTCACCCTCAGCCTCACCGAAGACACCAGAGCCGCCAGGCTCGCCCAAGCCCGGGATGGCTCCCGACAGCAAAGACTAGCTCTCTGGGCGGGCTCCGGAAAAGCGCCTCTGACAGCTGGGCCGCGCTGCATCCTGGGAGCCTTCCAGTTTCCGGGAATTCGCCAGCTGCGGACTACATTTCCCAGGAGTCTCCGGGACAGGCCTTGTCAGAACCCGGCGAGGGTGGCCGTGGAGAGCGTTAGGGACAGCTGGGCTCCCAGAAGCTTCGGAGCCCAAACTGGCCTCGGTGTCTGCGTTCTTTTCCGTTGTCCCCAAGTTCCGTTGGACGTTGCGCGGCGGTTGGTCGCGTGCCACACAGTAGTCAGCGCCGGCCGAGGGTGGGGGGCTCATCAGTCTTAACGGAAGCGGAACTGGGACCGGCAGGGACGGTTGGGAGGCGCCGGCGGCGGTTGGGTGCGGAGGCCCCTCGCGCACCGGCCCGGGTGTCCCTGCAGCGGCTGGAAGGACCGGGTGCGATCGGCGGCGGTTCAGGGCGCGGCTTGTCCGGTAACGGGGTGGTGGGGTGCGTGGCTTTATTTGTGGGCGCGGTTCGCTTTGGCTATGCGCGCTAAGTGCCCTGGAGACAAGCATGTCAAACTCAGAGGCTAACGCGGGCCAAATAAGGTGTAAGGTTACATGGGCCGCAAAACAAAACAAAACAAAAAAAAACACCTTTAATTTTGATATAAATGTAGATTTATTTCGATAGAGACATGCTGAACACAAAGGGCTGAAGTAAATGAGTTATCTATAACATAAAATAATAGAACATTTCAATGAAAATTATCTTTTTCTTGAACATGAACTTAACCAGACACTGAATAGCTGCACAAATTAATAAGCGAATAAACCTATTTCTCTTGTTCTCCGAAGCCAAATATTTCCTGTTGCACACACCAAACAAGTCAGTATAAGACTAATGATGTGGCCATCGGCTGCCAAAATATTCACTGCTGGTATTAGTGGAGAGAAATGGTGCAGCACAATGATAGTAATCAGCCATTAGTGGGCGTTGTGATTTGTTATTAATAACTAGAGGCCTGAAATTTGTGAGAAAGGTGTAGGGTGGGTCCCCTCAGCCCAGTCTGCACCCTTTTCAATCTTAGGGCGTGTCTGACTACTGGTTTAGGCCCGATCCGGGCAGTCGGACATCCTTCTCACAATCCTGAATCACTGGCTCCTAATCTTTCACCACCGTGCCTGGTTGCCCCTAACTCCCCCCCCCCCCCCCCACTTCACACCTTCCCTCAAACCCCTCTTGCCCCCCCTGCTGGCCTTATCACCCCTCACTGCCTCTGCATGTTTGCCTGGTTGCTCCCAACGGCCCCCCCTCCATGGCCTAGTTGCCCCTCACTGCCCCACCCCCAGCCTAATCAGCCCCAACTGCTCCTCCCACTGGCCTGGTCACTTCTTAAGGGCCGCCCCCCCCCCCAGCCTGATCACTCCACTGGTCACCCCACGCAGCCTGCGCTGCTGTTCAGTCGTTTTGTCGTCCCTCACTAACACCCCTGCCGGCCTGGTCGTAGGTAGCCATCTTGTGAGGGCATGAGGGTTAATTTGTATGTTACCTCTTTATTATATAGGATTATGTATAACAGGATATTGTAAAAATTAAGTTATGAGATTTTTATTAAAACTTTTCTTACATACTGTTATATTGGCTGGGTCGCAAAAATATTCATTGTGGGCTGCATGCAGCCGGCGGGCCCTGAGTTTGACATGCTCACTCTAGACTCTCAGGTCCTGGAAAGTTAAGTGACCCCAAGAAAAGAAGCCCTGTACTCGGCCCCAGCCTGAACGTAGACTTGGGCCAAGAACTTTATTTGCTTCTGGTGTCCTCGTGACAGGCTCTGAGGAAGACGGGGGGGGGGGGGGGGGGGGGGGGGGGGGGGGGCCAGGTAGGATTCCTAGAAGAGCCACCCCTTATTGCTCCTTGGGGGCCAGCTCCCTGCTTCCGGGCCTCAGTTCCCGAGAACTGCTGTCACCTCAGAGAGTCCAGCCTGCCTTTACATTGGACTTGCTTGTATGTGGGTGAAAGCAGATGTGGCCCTGGGGCAGCGGTTCTGAACCTGGGGGTCGAACGACCCTTTCACAGGGGTCGCCTAAGACATCCTGCATATCAGATATTTACATTACGATTACAGTAATGTAAGTTACAGCAGTAGCAAAATTACAGTTATGAAGTAGCAACGAAAATAATTTTACGGTTGGGGGTCACCACAACATGAGGAACTGTATTAAAAGATTGCGGCATTAGGATGGTTGAGAACCACTGCTCCAGGAGTGTTTTGGTTCTGTATTTCCTTTTTTATTGAACTCTGTCTGCTCCAAGAAATGCTGGTGTCAAACGATTCCTCTTCCCTCCCACTGCTTTCAGGTTTCTAAGAAGGACCCTGAGGAGGAGGAAAGAATAGGCGGATATTTGGAAATTGACGTTCAGGTGAGTTTGGGTTTCTTCTATAGCCATACAGTTACTTTTGTTTTTAGATCACGAGAATATTTGCTTTCCTCTGCCTGAAATATCTTGACTGGTAGGGTCCCATGGGTCTTCCTCCTGGAGAGGGACCCACCATGCTGATGCCTTCCCCTCCCCCGTGGTCCCATAATGTCCCTTTCTTCGGTTAGCGGCCATCTGTTCACATGGTGAACTGTTCAAATCCTTCAGTGCAGTCTCCCTCTCTCAGTGTTCTGGAGCCCTGGCTGCTTTTGCTCAGTAGACAGAGTGTGGGCTCTCAGACTGAAGGGTCCCAGGTTCGATTCCAGTCCATGGCTCAGACCTCAGCTGCAGACTTGCTCCCCAGCCCTATCCGGGCACGTGTGAGAGGCAACCAATCGATTGTGTCTCTCACATTGATGTTTTTATCTCTCTGCCTCTCTCTCTTCCACTCTCTCCAAAAATCAATGGAAAAGTATCCTCGGGTGAAGATTAACAACAAAAAAAAAGCAACAGACAAAAAAGAAATATGCCTCATGGAGGTAACTGTCAGAGCTTTATTTTAGCTTATGATTACTTGGAGAGGTTAGTATTCAGGTAGATAAACTATTTAAAAATATATATATGTTAATTTTTTATAGAGAGAAAGGGAGAGGGATAGAGAGCTAGAAACGAAAATGAGAGAGAAACATGGCTGCCTCCTGCACACCCCCTACCAGGGATGTGCCCACAACCAAGGTACATGCCCCCTTGACTGGAATCGAACCTGGGACCTTCCAGTCCACAGGCCAACGCTCTATCCACTGAGCCAAACCGGTTTCAGCAGATAAACTATTTTTTATCTTTTCCACAGTCATGAGTTTCAAAACTCAAGGCAAGGGAACAGGAAATTCTTAGTTTCAGTTAATAAATTCCAATGTTGTGCCCGGCCAGTGTGTCTCAGTGGTTGAGGATGGGCCTATGACCCAGGAGGTCATAGTTCAAATCCCTGTTAGGCACATGCCCAGGTTGTAGGCTTGATCCCCAGCAGAGGGTGTGCAGGAGGCAGCCTATCAATGTTTCTCTCTCATCATCGATATTTCTATCTCTTTCCCTTTCCCTTCCTCTCAGAAATCAATAAAAATTTATATATTTTTAAATTTCCATGTTGTAATGCCTTTAGGAGCAGTGATGTGCTTTGAGCTTGGGGCATAGGGCTTTGCAGTATGTGTCAACACGGGCAGAGACTTTCAGGTAATCTTTGAGTAGAAATCTGTAACATTGCTAAGCATAAGTTGTTTCAGGTCCAACTTTGTGTAGGTTGTGAGAGGCAGGCAGTACTGTGTGTGGTTAAGAGTAAGGCTATGGCCGAAACCGGTTTGGCTCAGTGGTAGAGCGTCGGTCTGCGAACTGAAAGGTCCCGGATTCGATTCCGGTCAGGGGCATGTACGTTGGTTGCGGGCACATCCCCGGTAGGGGGTGTGGGCAAGAGGCAGCTGGTCGGTGTTCTCTCTCATCGACCTTTCTAGTTCTCTATCTCTCTCTCCTCCTCTCTGTAAAAAATCAATTATTTATATATTATATATAAAAAAGAGTAAGGCTATGGCTCTAGAGCTCCTGGATTCAAACCGTGGCTCTGCCGTTCCTGGCTGCGTGAGCTTAGACAAATGATTCTGGCTGTCTGTGCCACATCGACAAAATCAGGTCCAAAAAATACCTACCTTGTGGGTTGTAATGATGTGAGGTGAGTGAATATGTGTAAAGCTCCTTAGAACAGTGCCTGCCTCATGATACAGGCTTGGTAAATATTAAGAGTTGCTGTTGTGTGGTGATTCTGGATCTTTCCCAATCAACTCCTTATAGATCAACATATGAAGGAAACATGAAGATGATTGTGGTGGGTACTTGCAAGTGTAAAAATGTGACCAGATGCTCAAATGGTAAGGTAAATAGGAGGAGGAAAGGGTAGGTCTTTGCTACAGGTCTTCTTATTCCAGATGACCACAAACCGCTTGAAATTGAGATAGAATTTTGGCAAATATTTGTAAATTTTTAAAGTGGGCACAATGTCTATAACTTAATGAAGTTATCCAGTGCACATGACTTACAAAATATCTAGCTCCATTGATCTGGAGTAAGACGATATAAGAGCTGGGAAGGAACTTACAGAAAATTAGTGTCCAGTGATCATGGAAACAGGTAAATTTCAGTATTTCTTGTGGTAGAATAATATTCACCTAATAAAAATTATGTTTATAAAGAATCAAAAAAAGGAAAAATATAAGTGATAATATTAAGCAAAAGTTAGTTATGAACAAAAGCACTCAAAAATATTAGGAGTGCTATATGAATTCCATTAGGAAAGAGGATTTTGAAAGACATTTTTCAAGGATCGTATCCAAAATTTTGTTTTCATCATGCATTCGGTGAAGAAGTTAGGTGTAGCCACACTGGTCCAGCATCTACTTTGTACCAAATAGGTATGTTTTTGTTGTGTTTCTGCTGATGTGTATGCATTTTCTTCCTCAGACTTTGAAGGTGACTTACATACTTCGCGTTCACTGACGGGAGAACCCTGACAGTGACAGTCTCACTGCAGTGAGGAGCCACAGCCCCGGGATGTTCAGGAGCGGGTAGGTGTGATTTGTTTCAGGCCCACTGAGTTTCAGTGTTGGGCTGTTTGTTTAGTTTTCTTAAGGACTGCAATTTACCCCTTTCCTGTCACTCAATATTTTACATTTGGAAATAAGCTTTATGGCTTCGATTATGGAATTAATACAGGTTTGTGGCAAAACAATTTACTAATCCAGGAATCATAGAGAATGAGGTAAAAAATTATATTCTCCTGCTCATTCTTGGTATTCCAGTGTGGGTGCGTTTTGCTTGTTTGTTTTCCTACAAACTTGTGTGTCTAGTTTTGTTTCTGCAGAATGAAGTCACATGAATTGGTGATACAATTGAGTTGAAGATTCTCTGTCTTTTAATTGGAAACGAAATAAAAGAGGGGTAAGAAGTGTAACAGGTGGTTACACTGAAGATTAAGAAAGATCATATAAAATGGTGTACAATAATTGCTTAAAATACGTTTTAGCCATTAAATAAACCCTGACATGGCTTTTATTTTAACATATTTTTAAAAATATATTTTATTGATTTTTTTTTACAGAGAGGAAGGGAGAGAAATACAAAGTAGAGAGAAACATCGATGAGAGAGAGTCATCGATCAGCCGCCTCTTGCACGCCCTCCCACTGGGGATGTGCCCGCAACCAAGGCACATGCCCTTGACCGGAATCGAACCCAGGACCTTTTAGTCCGCAGGCCGACGCTCTATCCACTAAGCCAAACCAGTTTTGGCTTATTTTAATATTTATTTAATCTTGAGTATGTAGAAAGAAGAGGGAAGTGTCAGTGATTCTTTCCTTATTAGAAAATTTTCAAGTATTTACAACGTTTAGGAATATAGAAATGCTATTTAGAAATTGATTACCTGGGCAATGAAGATGAATTGAAAGGTTACTTCCCCAGAAAATAGCAACAGTCTCTAAAGTCTTACAAAAATCTATTTTACAAATAATATTTCCAAGGACAGATACTAGTACCAGGAGGTTGAATAAGGAGGTTATAGATGAAAGTATTCAAATAAGCCACCAATTTGCACAGAACAACCCAGTTGAGCCTCTGGCTAATGTTCCCAGATTGATACCTCACTGGGTTATATTTTCTGAGCCAGCTTTGCAGTGCCTAATTTTGTCTCTCCATCTGCAGCTTCTGTAGCAATATTTTTTCCTGTATATTTAAGAGCCTTCTTTGTTCACCTTGTTATTCAGGAAGAATAGCAGGCTTAGAGCTGGGCTGTGAAATTTAGAATTGTAAGAAAGCAGGCCTGAGAAGTACAGATTTTATCAAGAGAAAAATTACAAGAATGGCATTAACTTTTTTACATTAACTTTCTCACATTATTACAATGTAATAAGAAATAATCTTTTTCATTTTCACTAGTAATGGCTACAACGTATATTAAGCAATTATTGTATACCATTTTATGTGATCTTTCTTACTTAATCTTCAATGCAGCCATCCGTGGTAAACACCTTTTACCCCTCTTTTATTGAATTTCTCAACAGAGGTGTTGAGAAATTGGTAACCATCAAGTTCAAGTCTGACATCAGTCTTTATCTTAATTTCACATACACTTCACACATTATGTATCTTGCCTCACTAAGAAATTAACTATGTATGTTTTTCTTCATCAATTAATGTGGCCCATTACCTTCACAACTGTGAAGGTAGAATGGGCCATTATTTATTCAGCCCTTTGCCCAGTATTACATAGTTTCTAATTCTTGGTTATCATAAATGACTTTTGGTTGACTATTCTTATGTATACATCTTGTATATTTCCCTAGCTATTTAAGGATACATTTCTATCTGGAATTTTGGGTTAAAATGTGTCCCAAGCCGAAACCGGTTTGGCTCAGCGGGGACTGAAAGGTCCCAGGTTCGATTCCGGTCAAGGGCATGTATTGGTTGCGGGCACATCCCCGGTAGGGGGTGTGCAGGAGGCAGCTGGTCGATGTTTCTCTCTCATCGACGTTTCTAGCTCTCTCTCTCTCTCTCTTCCTCTCTGTAAAAAGTCAATAAAATATATTTAAAAAAAAAAAAATGTGTCCCAAATATAAGACCCTGAGATAATAATACTTGGGCAGTAATATAATGACTAAAAGACATAGTTGTTACCGTTAGGATAAGAAAGACAAAATATGTTTAGGAATAAGTAGGGCAGTCAGCAACAAAGGCCAATATGCAATTCAGATAGCCTGGAAGGAGGCAATAGTGAGGTAATTGTAAGCAATACTATTAAGTCTTACCAACTTTGTGGAGGCAGATGGGATATAGCCTGTGATTTTATACCATATAGTTTTTATCCTGCTAATATTAGTTGCAAAGTAAGGCTATAAGATCAGGTGATTCAGCAGCTCCCTTGAGGGTATCATGTCTAAAAAGATAAACCAATTTGTCAGAAGACATGAAAAGTAGCAGGATCAAGACCTCTCAATATATCCTTGAGATTTCTTTGTGAATTTCAGCCCTTTTTTTCTAGGGAGAGAAATCATATAGTTAGTATAATGCATGGCCACCGTTACAATAATTATGCAGAATATCTAAACCAAAAGTTCATTATGGTCATACTACATTATTATACATAGCTATAATTTTTTTCATCTATTGATGTCTGACAAGTGTAGTTATACTATATACTTCATGTAACATATTTTTTTCTCTTGATAATAGATCTTGATTATTTTCCCCAACTTAGCATAGTTTCATAGTGTTCCATTGCATAGATGCTCTGAGTGTATTAAGTCACATTGCTAGGCACAATTACCTGAGCAATTGTTTGTATATCCTGTCTGCTCCTATGTCTTGACCAATTTTCTGAAGTCCTAAGCCCATGAAGTGTTCTAGTCTTGGACCATGTTGGCCATTCTCAGTCCTCATAGGTAGGAATGGAGGGCGGAAGATCTGATCTGGGGAGGACTGAGTGGTCCGATCTCAGACTCATAGCAGCACCCCCAGAATTGGGCTGTGAAAGAAACCTTTCTGCTGAAGGCCCTGGGATTTTAGGGGAGAGTGTAAATTCCGCATGAGGTATGTGGGGTATGGATTCGTTTGAGTCATGATGGGTCAGTTAAGCCCACCTGGTCTAAAGCTTCCTTTTCCTTCCCCAGCGCTGGCTTCTCTGGACTCTGTGCTTTGCCAATAGAGGAACCCCACGGAGCACTAATCAGTTCTTGCAGTTATAGAACCATGGCTGACGTAAGTTGGTATTTCTCTCGACTTGGAATGCAGTGATTTTTAGTTCATGTGAATCTTTCCCTTAATTGTACTAAAGCCTTCTACCTAACAGAACCCCATCCCTGAGCCCGCCTCTCAGTTCCTCCTATTCCAGTGAAGGGTGGTGCCAGATACCCTCCATCCCTCCCTAGGTGCCTTTTCCAGTCAGTCATCACCTCACTCACCACCTCCTGCATGCTCCGTCTTCCGTCAAAGTAAAGGAATGGAGTCTTTTGTGGAAAGTACTTGAGCTTCTGTCAAAGAATAGCTCTCTTACTTGTATAAAAGGAGAAACCAAGAGTAGATGGATTTTATCTATCAAAGCACAGATGGGATTTATATAAGAGGAGAGAATGAAAGACTTTACATTTTGGAAATGACAGTTGTCCCTTTCCTGCTAAGATGCTGGTAGGCAGGAGTCAGGAAAGAAGCCAGGCAGGATACTGTTCCCGCCCGCTGGACGACCACCAAGAAGGCAGCTTCGGTGGCCGCCCTCTGAAGAGCTTTGGTGTGTCCCGTGGCGTGTCCGTGGCAGGCTGTCCGGGTGGTGCCCCTGGTTATCTCTCCATCCTCGTGCCACCAGGCCTGCACCATCTCCCTTATCAGAATCTCTCATCCCCTCAAGTCTGTGGCATGATGAGGTAGTGAGGAGGGTCCCAGTGGACCACACAGGAGAGCTTGGAACTTCCTCACAGACCTGAGTTTTCCAGGAGGCTCAGGTGGGATTTGGGATTTCTTGGTCTCAGCCTAAGTTTATGTGCAATCATGCTTTGCAAGGCTTTTCAGGATTAGAGGGGGAGCGAGTGGATCTTTCCCGGGATTCCCTGATTGATGAACACCGGTACCAAAGTCCATTCTGTCATTGACCAGGACATGCAGGCCTTGGCGACATCTGTTAGGCACAGTATCCTCCAACTCGGGAATAAAGAAGGTGTTAAGCTCTGAGTGGTTAATGATAACAAGAAGATGAGCCAGCCCCTCAGGTGTGGCTCAGCGGTTGAGTGCCAACCTGTGAGCCAGGAGGTCACCATTGGACTCCTGGTCAGGGCACATGCCCGGATTATGGGCTCAGTCCCCAGTAGGGGACTTGTAGGAAACACATCAATGATTCTCTGTCATCATTGATGTTTCTATCGCTCCCTCTCCCTTGCTCTATGAAATCCATAAAAATGCATTTTAAAAAAATTGACCAAAGAAAAGATGATCCAGATTTTTAAGTATGATTCCAAGAATTAAGGAAAATCTTTAGAAGTTTTGTTTAACCTCAATATGTAACATAATAAAGTTACTAATCTAATATATCCAAATGATGAACTGAATTATAGCTAATAACCCATTTTATGTATTCATCATAGTAAGAAACAATTCTAATGAAATCTAATAGAATGATTTATTTGAGGCTTAATGATAATTTTAATGGAAATTATATTTCTGAAATAGACTTTATAGTGTGTTTTTTGGGGAAAATTTCGTGCCTCTCCTTCTTCCCCTCTTCCCCCATATTCCTTAAAGGGACAAGATGGTATGACAGCTCACATTTATAAAGAATTTATGAGGCAGGCACATAGCAGGGTATGTGTATGTATACCCATAAGCCTTCCTTTCTCCCTCCACTATTTTTCTTGAATAGAAGAGAAGCTGGGATTTTTAAGTATATTATCAGACAGGTCTGGAGAACTGAGTTAATCACAGTATCCAGGAAGTTTTTTCTGCTCCATTCTTCTAAAACATGTAGACACACTACTTTAATCATACTAATTTCCTTACTTTTCCTACCTGTATGTATCACAAGCTTCAAGCCTCCTTCATTGTCATATTTTTCTCTCCTTGCAGTTTATCCTTCACATTATTTTTTTCCCTCTTGGAAATACTTTCTTAAATTCTTTAATTTCATAAGTAACGTGTGGATTTTTGGTTTTAGGGGTTGGTGACGTTCAGTGATGTGGCCATCAACTTCTCTCAGGAAGAGTGGGAGTGCCTGAGCCCTGCCCAGAGGGACTTATACACGGATGTGATGTTGGAGAACTACAGTAACCTGATTTCAGTGGGTAAGGTCGTCTGCCTGAGATAATCTAGAATCTCCTCTCTGCAACATCCGCTTTCTTCATGGGAATCACGGGGCTGTCTCTGAAGAGACCAGATGGATTTCTTCTTCCTGTTCTCACAGGAATGGTTTGGTGTTGTTGGGTTAGAAATGGGTTCATGGAGCACCTTGGACTTCCCGCCCCTCAGCAAGCTTCACACCTTCCGCTGACCCTTCCTGCAAAGGATGCTTCTCCTCTCTAACGACCGAAGAGCTAGATTTGTGTTATGGGGCATTTATTCATAACCATTGTTTAACTTCCACATTTCTATAAATGATCTGTGTTCTTGCTACTCAAAGTGTGGTTCTTTTTTTTTGAGGAACCATAAGAAGGCCAGAGTAAAGTAGTGAAGGAGAAAATACAGAGTATCGGTCATTAGTGAGGAAGAAGGCAGGGCCCAGATTATGATATGCAGTTTCGTTAGTTTAGGAAAGGGGCGGGATGTATATTGTTTTCTCAGTGACTTGGTTTACATGGGGTTTATATATATATATATATATATATATATATATATATACACACACACACACACACACACACACACACACGGGATTTATATATATATATATATATATATATTTTTTTTTTTTTTTTTTTTTTTTTTTTTTTTTTTTTTTTTTTACTGGGAGGAAGGGAGAGAGAGAGAGAGAGAAGTATCGATGACAGGGAAACATCAATCAGTTGCCTCCTGCACACCCCCTACTGGGGATGTGCCTACAACTAAGGTACATGTCCTTGACTGGAATCGAACCTGAGACCCTTCAATCCAAAGGCTGACTCTCTGTCCACTGAGCCAAACTGGTTAGGGCTGTTTTAACTTTTTCATTGTTAAGTGTTACACAAAGAAGTAACATGAGCTTCTTCTGGGCTGGTTAGAAATGCAGCTTGTCAGGTCCTGCCCCAGACCTGCAGGACAGAATCGGCATTTACAAGACCCCTCGGTGATTTTTACATGCCTTAAAGAAGCAGTGCTGTGTTCTTTCCTGACCCACATGGAGGTCGTACAGCCAGGAACAGGGGCCTGATGCACTCTGGCTTTCAAGAGCCTCTTCACTTTAGCTGAGGCTGGTCTGAATGAACAGAATTCATTTCTTACCAAGCAAATGCATTTCTTTACTTAACCACAAATTTAGAGTAAAAAGTTACAACCTGCCAAAACCGGTTTGGCTCCGTGGATAGAGCATCAGTCTGCGGACTGAAAGGTCCCAGGTTCGATTCCAGTCAAGGGCATGTACCTTGGTTGCAGGCACATCCCCAGTAGGGGTTGTGCAGGAGGCAGCTGATTGATGATTCTCTCTCATCGATATTTCTGACTCTCTATCCCTCTTTCTTCCTCTCTGTAAAAAATCAATAAAATATATTTTTTTAAAAAAAAGTTACAATCTGAGCTAACTCCTAAAAATGTCTCATGAAACTTCTTTTTTCCTTTTAGCAAAGTAACATAACAATAATGTTAACAGTTAACACTGTACTTACTATAAACTAAAAAATATATATATATTAACTTACTTAACTTTCACAATGTCCCCATGAGGTAGGTACTGTCTTATTTTTAATATGTTTTTATTGAGTTTTTAGAGAGGAAAGGAGAAGGAAAGGGAGAATGGGGGGGCGGGGGGGAAAGACATGGATATGAGAAAAACATCAATTGATTGCCTCCTGTACACACCCCAACAGGTATCAAACCCGAAACCTGGGCATGTGCCCTGATCTGGAATAGAACTGACGACCTTTCAGTGCATGGGACAACACCCAACCAAATGAGCCATACCAGCCAGGGCACAGGTGGGTGCTATTTTTATCTGAGGCACATATAGTGTAAGTGGCTTTCTAAGGTCACACAGGTGGTGGGAGGCAGTGGCAGCAATTGAACAGAAGTCTGGCTCCAGAGACTAAATCTGTTTATTTTAGGGATGGAGCCTGATCATTTTCCTATCTATGTGATGTCATGGTCTTTATTCCCATCATCCTCTCTTCTGTGAGGTCTTTATCAACATTATTTTAACCTTTACTTTATTGACAGTTAACCACATATTTTAGCTTCGAGTAGGCATATGTGGCGACGCTATTGGAGCAAGAAGGAGAGCCCTGGATGGTGTGAGGGGAGGGCCAAGAAGTTTTGACCCAGGAAGGTAGACAGGAGGGAACCAACAGTGCAGGACACGCCCGCATAGGCCGCAGAGGAGGAGAAACGGGAACATCCGGGGTGATGCTTGGAAAGGTCCCTGTACAGCACCAGGGCCCGTAGAGTGAAGGCCCATCACCGGGAGGAAATTGAAGTCTGAGTTTGAGCTCCAAAAAAACTTCATCTTGATCTCATTCCCACCCTCCTTGTTTTCTTCTCTTGTTTCCCTTCGATTTCAGTGAGGAGGATGTGCTTTTGTTTTGTTTGCAGTGTAACCATTTGGCTTATATGTTGGATTCATCACCTTTCCAGCACTTTTGTGTTTGTGAGCAAATATACGCATTCATTCATAAAGTCTGCAATTTTTCTTTAATTAAAAAATATATATTTTATTGATTTTTTTACAGAGAGGAAGAGAGAGGGATAGAGAGAAACATCAATGAGAAAGAAACATTGATCAGCTGTCTCTTGCACACTCCTCGCTGTGGATGTGCCCGCAACCAAGGTACATGCCCTTGACCAGAATCGAACCCGGGACCCTTGAGTCGGCAGGCCGACGCTCTATCCACTGAGCTGAATCTGTTAGGGCAAGTCTGCAATTTTTTGTTTGTTTTGTTAATCCTCAACCAAGGATATTTTTTTCCCTTGATTTTTACAGAGTAGAAAGGAGGAAAAGCGGAGAGAGAAAGAGAAACATCATTGATTGGTTGCTTCCTGCATGCTCCTGGCCTGGGGCCAGGGATCGAATTTGTAACCCAAGTACATGCTCTTGACCAAGAATAGAACCCACAACCCTCTTCTGCTCAGGCCATCACTAACCACTGAGGAACACCAGCCAGGGATGCAAATATTTTGAATGTCTACTCCCAGCCAGGCATTACACCATCATGAACAAGATAACTATCCATTCTCATGCAATTTATGTAGTCAGGGAGAAATAAAGTTAAGTAAATAAATACATGTATAAATACAATCCTATGTTTTTAGAGGAAAAGTAAATGACAGAGAACAGAAAATGATGGGAATTTATAAGGCTAATTCACATAAGGTGGTTAGGGAAAGTTTTCTTGAATAGACACAAAAGCCTGGGATCAAATTATGTGACGGGGGGGGGGGGGGGGGAGGACTATGCCAATCACAGTCAACAGCAAATGCAAAGGCCCTGTGGTTGGAAAGGAGCTTCATTGGAGGGCCTTTAAGGCCAGAACAGAATCGGCAGGGGAGTGTGTACTAAGAAATTAGTCAGGAAATGGGCAGGGGTCAGATAATACAGTTTTGTCATTGTTTTAGGATTTGAGTTGTTTAGTCTCTTTCACTCTGAAACATTTCCAGTGTCTTTCCTTGACTTGCATCTCTTGCTGCTGCTGATCATTACAGGCCAATGTTTGGCACTGTGCTCCTCAGACAGTGGGTATGTCTGCTTTTTCCTCACGATTAGATTTAGGTTATGCATTTTGGCAGAAATAGCACAGAATTGATGCAGCATTCTCCTTGCATCCTGTCAGGTAGTGCAAATGATTTGTCATTACTGCTGATGCTTCCTCTGAGCAGTTGATTAAGGTTGTAAAGTTAATCTTTTTTCCTTTAATGAGTATTTTGTGGGAAGGACTTTGAGACTATGTATTCCCCTTCAAACTTCCTTTTATTTAGATATTGGATTTCTAGTCAGTGGGTTGTAATATGCTCTTCCCATTATTTATTTTGAAGCTCAAGATATTTGAGCTTCTTCCAGATATAACCACTGGGAACCCTGTCATGGGGCTTCTGGGTCCTCTGACATATCTCCATCACTTTAAACACTTCCTTATTTCTGACACTTTCCCTATTGTAGCTTTAATATCAACCACCACTTTAAGGTGGTTCCTCTCAGTCCAGAATGGTATTTAGAAGCCAAATCTGGGTACTAGGTTTCCTCATTGCTGCTGAGGGATGGCTGTACCCATACCCCCTCAGTGGACAGGTCTAGGGAATATACTTATATACTACATATACATATACATGCACACACATTTACTTCTATATATTGAAAATCTTGAGTTCACACAGATATCTCCAATTTCAATTCAACACTACAGGTTTCATTTTAATTTACTCACTTTCCTCACTTCCAACTCCCTTCTCTAACAGTGAAAAACCTGGCTTCCACTATCCTTAATATATTTACTTACTTGACCAAACTCTCTGTATGTAACCAGCCTTCCATTACCACCACCACCTTAATCATATGATCGCCATCTCATCCCCCGTGGGCTCTGGCAGCCCATGCCTGTCACACACTGACACTTACCCTTCTCCTGCTTGCATTCTGATTTTCTTCATGGGACAATCCTTTTTATGGTGGAACCCCCTCACATTGACATTCAGTACCCTACTCTGGGTTTTATTTCATTACATCTTGATCCTTTAGTGTGCATTAATATTTTATGTGATAAAATAGGAAGTATTTGTTAAGCTTCTCTGTTGCATACCAAAGTGTGATGATGGCGTTGAGGAAAACCACTTGTGCAATTGTTTGACTTGTGAGTGAAACTCGCCATTTTTTATGGAGCGCCATTTTTTTCTTGAAAGACTGACTAACACACACACTATGGTTATCCAGACTTAGGTAGTTGGAAAAATTTTCTTGCAAGTGAGCCTGTCATTTCAAGAACAACTATTTGCTGCCAACAATAGAATTCAAACTTTCAAGTAAAAAATTAGAATTGTATGAAACTTATATCCATCTTTTTGAGCTTTACAGCTTTTCACTTTTCTTTTTTTCCTAATGAGATAGGTGGTAATATTGCCATGTGATTGTTTTGATAGTGTATAATGAAATATATCAAATTCTCAAAGATCTGCACAACGCAGTGAACCATTTTTTTCAAGTGACCAGTATGTGATGTTGCAAAATTATGCATAGATAAAAGGTCATTCAAATTGTAATGGATTTTTAAAAATATATATTTTTTATTGATTTCAGAGAGGAAGGGATAGAGAGAGAGAGAGAAACACCAATGATGAGAGAATCATTGATTAGCTGCCTCCCGCACACCCACACTGGGGATCGAGCCTGCAATCCAGGCATGTGCCCTTCGCCAGAATCCAACCTGGGACCCTTCAATCCACAGGCTCTACTCGCTGAGCCAAACCAGCTAGGGCAGATTTTAATGTAACATAGTAGGAAAAGTTCCTGGGTATAGTTGCATATTCCACATTGTAATTAACTTTTAAAGAACTATCACTTCTCAAGTTTTACTGTAATATCAAAGAAACACATCCACAATTACCTGAACAGGTTTATAAAATACTAGAGGCTGGTGCACAAAATTCATGCATGGAGGGGAGGAGGGGTGTCCCTCAGCCCTGCCTACATCCTCTCACAATCTGGGACCCCTCAGTGATCAGGGCCTATTGGGACTTGCCTTCCTCAGGCTGCCACTAGCTAGCCCCACTCCCACGACTGCCACTGCTTGCCATCTGTTCAGCACTGTCCCCCTTTCCCTGCCACCATGCACCTCCCTCTGTGGGTGGCAGGTATGGGGTGCGATTGCTTGGCTGGCCTGGGCCTCCCTCTGTGGGGTAATCGCTGGCCCACTTCACACACCCGTCACAACGTCACTGGCCTGTGGCCTGGGCCTTCCTCTGCGGGGTGATCATGTTGCAATGGCAGGGCCCCCTGACCAATCACATCGCACCTGCCTTGACTGGCCTGGCACCAATGCATGTCATAGCATGGTCACCTGGAAGGCTGTATGGTCATTCAGTCGATTTGCATATTATGCTTTTATTATTATAGATTATTCCATTTTGCAACTGCATATCTGTGGAAGATTGGATTCTTCATGTACTTAACCAAAATAGCATTGCCACAGATTAAATGCAGAAGCAAATATGAGAATCCACTTGTTTTATTTTGAAAATGTAATTATGGTTCATGAAATCTGTTAACATTCAATGATTTATTGTAAAAAGACATAACCCTTATAAACAAAAGTGTTTTGGGGTTCTCAATGATTTTTTCAACAAGAAGTTAAACCTATATTCATTTATAAACTCTGGTAAGCCTTACAAAAAACATTCAAGTACTAAGTAATTATAATGCAAGCCCTTATCTGGCAATTCAAACTTAATTGAACTATTTGTTGATGCTAAGTTGTACAAAACTGCGTTCCAAGCTTGGAGCTGAGCTGGGGCTGGGTGGTAACTTTCATTACTTTTAGTTTATTTCTTGTTTCTAGATTTTAAACATCTTTCTTTGCTCTAAACTTCCCACATGACCACTGATGGCTAACCTCCTTTAGTGTATCAGGATTTGAGCTGGGTGGTTGTATTACAGCTGTAGTTAGTTTCATTTCACTTGTTGTTTGGAAATCCAGTAGAATCTTGGAACTTTATAACTGCTCAAACTGCAAGATTTTGTCTGCTTTCTAGCCCAACACCAACCACTCAGAAAAATTCCCGTGAGGGAGAATTATCTAGCTTAAAGTTGTTTTTCAATGTGAAGATTTTCTAGAATCCAGTTAATCATGCCAGCCTTTACACAGTCATTAAAAGTTTGGCTGGAATCACACCTGTGCACAGAAGGGCTTCACTGATACAAGGACACATTTGGTTTAAGGAATCATCTGTATAGAAAGAGGGACTTGTTAAAGTGATTTTTTTTGTCAAATTCTCCAGAAAACTGTCAAATCAGAACATTAAGATTACAAGAACTGAAAAGTCAAAATTTAATTTTATGAGAAGAGACTTGATGCTTAGGAGTTTAGTAAGTCTACTAATCCAGTTCACTTATAGGTATTATTTTCAATTCATCTTTTATTTTTATTGTAAAGGGCATTTTTCTGGTAGAGGAAATAAAATGTATGGTTTTCCTGTTTTCTTTTAGATTTGGAGTCAACTTATGAGACCAAAAATAGCTTTTTAGAAAAGAACATTTCCGAAATAAGTTTTTCCCAATGGGCAGAAAAGGAAAGAAGTAAAACACTTGATCTTGAGGAATCCATTTTCAAAAATAATTGGAAGTGCAAAAGCAAATTTGACGGACTACAGGAACATCAAGAGGAATACTTTAGTCAAATGGTAATCAGTTATGAAAAAATGCCCACTTACCAAAAAAGTAAATCTCTTATTGCACATCAAAGACTTAATCCAGAGAAACCCGACATTTATAAGGAATGTGGGAAGACTTGTAGTCATGGTTCAAAACTTGTTCAACAGGAGAGAACTCATACAGCTGAAAAACACTTTGAATGTAAAGAATGTAGTAAAAACTTTTTTAGTGCCTATCAACTCACTGTGCACCAGAGATTTCATACTGGTGAGAAACCCTACAAATGTAAGGAATGTGGGAAGACTTTTAGTTGGGGATCAAGTCTTGTTAAACATGAGAGGATCCATAGTGGGGAGAAGCCCTATGCATGTAAAGAATGTGGAAAGACCTTTAGTCGTGGCTATCACCTTACTCAACATCAGAAAATCCATATTGGTGTGAAATCTTATGAATGTAAGGAATGTGGAAAGGCCTTTTTTTGGGGCTCAAGCCTTGCTAAACATGAGATCATTCATTCAGGTGAGAAACCTTATAAATGTAAAGAATGTGGGAAAGCATTCAGTCGTGGCTACCAACTTACTCAGCATCAGAAAATTCATACTGGAAAGAAACCTTATGAATGTAAAGTATGTGGAATGGCTTTTTGTTGGGGGTATCAGCTTACTCGACATCACATGTTTCATACTGGAGAGAAACCCTACGAGTGTAAGGAATGTGGGAAGAACTTTAATTGTGGTTCAAGTCTTATTCAACATGAGAGAATTCATACAGGTGAGAAGCCCTATGTATGCAAAGATTGTGGAAAGGCTTTTAGTCGTGGCTATCACCTTGCTCAACATCAGAAAATTCATACTGGTGAGAAACCTTTTGAATGTAAGGAATGTGGGAAAGCCTTTAGCTGGGGTTCAAGTCTTGTTAAACATGAGAGAGTCCATACTAGTGAGAAATCCTATGAATGTAAAGACTGTGGAAAAGTCTTTGGTAGTGGGTATCAACTTGCCCGACACCAGATATTTCATACTGGGGAGAAACCCTATGAATGTAAGGAATGTGGGAAGACCTTTAATTGTAGTTCAAGTCTTGTTAAACATGAGAGAATCCATAGTGATAAGAAGCCCTATGCATGTAAAGAATGTGGAAAGACCTTTAGTCGTCGCTGTCACCTTACTCAACATCAGAAAATCCATATTGGTGTGAAATCTTATGAATGTAAGAAATGTGGAAAGGCCTTTTTTTGGGGCTCAAGTCTTGCTAAACATAAGATCATTCATTCAGGTGAGAGACCTTATAAATGTAAAGAATGTGGGAAAGCATTTTGTCGTGGCTACCAACTTACTGAACATCAGAAAATTCATACTGGAAAGAAACCTTATGAATGTAAAGTATGTGGAATGGCTTTTTGTTGGGGTTATCAGCTTACTCGACATCATATATTTCATACTGGAGAGAAACCCTACAAGTGTAAGGAATGTGGGAAGAGCTTTATTTGTGGTTCAAGTCTTGTTCAACATGAGAGAATTCATACAGGTGAGAAGCCCTATGTATGCAAAGATTGTGGAAAGGCTTTTAGTCGTGCTGATCACCTTACTAAACATCAGAAAATTCATACCCGTGAGAAACCTTTTAAATGTAACAAATGTTGGAAAGCCTTTAGTTGGGGTTCAAGTCTTGTTAAACATGAGAAAGTCCATATTGGTGAGAAATCCTATGAATATAAAGACTGTGGGCAGGCCTTTGATAGTAGGTATCAACTTAGTATTCATCAGACATTTCATACCAGTGAGAAATCTTATGATGTAAGGAATTTAGGAAGATTTACTCATGGCTCAGGTCTTGTTCAACATGATAGAACTCATAGTAATGATAAATTCCATGAATATAGAGAATGGGAAAGTCTTTATATGGTCAACTTACTCAATTGAAACAATTGCTATTGGAGAAATTATGATTGAAGAGATGTGAAAACATTTTTTTTTTTGTGTGTGTGTGTGTATGGACAATTTAAACAGAAATCTTATTCTAGAGAAAACTTATGAATGTGAGGGATGTCCAAAAGCCTTACATATGTATGGAAAATTTGATATTAGAAAATTTGTACTAGTAAGAAATATTTTAAATATGAGGAGTATGAAAAGGCATTTAGACTTCTGCACGATCTTATTGAAGATCAATTTATATTGATTTGAAACTATTTAAATGAAAGGAATGTATCTTTACTCATGACACAGAGTCTGATAAGCATTGGAGGATTTATATTTAAAAGAGACACTTCAAGGAATGAGGGAAGAATGGAAATTTAATTCAGTTCTTGCTCGGCATAGCAGAGAATATGCTGTGAAATCTTATAAATGTAAGGAATGCAGAAAGGTTTATAGATGTGATAAGCATCTTAGAATACGTCAGAGAACTAATCCGCATGAGAAACCCTTAGGTTAGAATGCAGGAACACCTTTAGTCAGGTGCTACTCAATCTGTTTTCTAGAGACTAGTACTAGTCCCAAAAATGGTAATCTGTCCATCAGGAGATAAATGCAGAAAATGAGAGTAAGTGTTTGGAAACATTTATAGAAATTTGATATTGCCATCACATCGTTGCATTTTATATAAGTATCAATTAGCTCATGAATGTTTGAAAAGTAAAAACAAAAGTTTGCCCTTACCCATAAATAACTGAGACAGTATTCATACGTATAAAAATGTGACACAAGTTACGATATGATTAATTGGAACAAGAAATCCCTCACTTGTCACCTGATTAGCAGAATGTTCATGCTATAGGAAGATTTGGCTAATGTGGGAATCACAACTTCCTTATGCCCATAAAAGCATAGAAAATTTACACAAAGTAAGTTCATTTAGTAAATGTATAGAAGGCTTCTAACACTATTCAGTCTTTTGAATAACAAATATTTATTATCTATGTAATTATTTCTGTAACAAAGTTAGGGAGCCCCTTATCCATGGCACACAGCATACTGATTGTCATCACTTTTCCACCTCCTTATTCCCTGTGGGATGTTGGTCAAAATGTTTATCCCTTTTGGGAGTCATCTTTAAAATGCTGGTGATGGTAACTATTTAATTGTGCTTTTGTAAAGATTGGATGGATTTATACGCATCAACTCCTTGGAAGAGTATCCGGTATGTAATCTATGCCCAATACATATTAGCTGCTGTTCTTATTCACATCATTAGTATTACTACTAGTGAATTCTTAAAGAGAGGAATGCTCATTGGTATAATAAATTTAGGAAAGCTTTTCATAACCACTTATGAATTTGAGTTTCAGGTAGTTCATTCTGGATAAAATTTAGTAAAACAAAACCTGAGAGGATTTTTATTCAGAATTTATCCCTTAAGCTTCATAAGACATTAAGACTGAAAATAAATGTGGATTTAGCAAGTGTTAAGATGGGAATATACCTGAAGAACCAGAGAGAGGTATGAAATAATTTGCCTGAAATGACAGGCAATAATTATAATTCTTTGTTCACATTTCAAGATAAATTAGAAATTACAAAGGAAGAAACTACATTTGAGGATTCTTTCCCAAAATCTTATGGCAATTTTCAGACAAGTTGAAAGAATAGTATAATGAATATACTCTTCTCTACCTAGAATCAATAATAGTTAACATTTGACCATATTTGCTTTCTCTCTTAATATATGTGTGTGTGTATATTCATGTAGCACTTGACTTATAAATAAGTCCTGATAGTTCATTCCTGAACACATTAGCATGTACCTTTTTAGATTAAGAATGATCTTATTTAATACCATGGTCATACAAGAAAATTGTCAATAATTCTGTAATACCAATATTATTTTCTATTTCATATTTTCCAGTGCTCCCAATAATTTATCCTATTGCTATTTACTTTCTTTTAAAAAAAAATATATATATATATATTCTTTTATTGATTTTTAGAGAGAGGGGAAAGGAGAGAGAGAGAGAGAGAAACATTAATGTGAGAGGAACATCAATTGGTTACCTCCTGCAGCCCCCTACTGGGATGGAGCCCACAACTTGGGCATTACCCTGACCGGGAATTGATCTGGTGACCTCTTGGTGTCTGAGTCGTCACCTGTTGCACTAAGCCACACCACTGGGCACTATTTACTTTCTAACCAGCATCCTCTTTATATTCATGCATTGTATTTGGTTGTCATGTCTCTAGGTTTTAGTCTCGAACAGACAGGAAAGCTGTTTTATAGAATGAATACATTCTAGATTTGTTTCTTTACCCATTAGGAAATAGTGCATTAAGAAAAAAATTGAATTGTAAGACTAAAGTCTCACATTGATAAATTTTAGGTTAGTCTACAGGTAGACCGATAATGGTCAGATATTGAGTGCTTAACAGTTGTTGAATAAATTATAGCTGCTTGTAGAAGGACAATTTGGAAATTTTCTTTTCTTTCTCTTTTTAACCATAACTGACATAGTAAGTTCTGAAGATTTGAGTATCACAGCTGATGAGCACAAAGGGACTGAAAGCTGGAAAATAAGCATCTGGGAATGTACTGACTGATGTTCACCAGTCATGTAAAGTGATAAGACAGAAGAGAGAGAATAAAGGGGAACAGATTAGCTCAGCAGGACAGTAAGATATTGGTTTTTGAGGAGGCACATGTTATGACTCAATGATGTGGTCATTGGGTGTTTTTATATCCATTATTTGTTTTAGAAAATAAAGTCAATTAAATTCCTTTATTGCAGTCTAAGATGAATCTGAAGAGGATTTATTTATGCCTTTTCTCCACTCTGCCCAAAGGGATATCTCTTATTTTTTGCTTTAAATATATTTTTTAATTACAAGGTGACACACAATATTGTATTAGCTTTAGGTGTACAGCTCAGTAATTTAGACATTATATAACTTACTAAGTGGTCACTCTGATAACTCTAGTACATATATGACATGATACATACTTATTACAATACTAGAGGCCAGGTGCACAAAATTCGTGCACAGGGTTGGGGTGGGGGGAGTCTCTCAGCCCAGCCTGCACCCTCTTCATTATGGAATCCCTCTCACAATCCAGGACTGTTGGCTCCCAACCTCTCGCCTGCCGCTTCTGCCTGACAGCCTGATCACCCTAACCTCTCCCCTGCCAGTCCAATTGTCCCTAACTGCCCTCCCCTGCCAGCCTGGTCACCCCCAACTGCCCTCCCCTACAGGTCTGGTTGCCCCCAACTGCCCTCCCCTACAGGCCTGGTCCCTCCCAACTGCCCTCCCCTGCTGGCCTGATTGCCTACAACTGCCCTCCCCTGCCAGTCATCTTGTGGTGGTCATCTTTGACCACATGGGGGTGGCCATCTTGTGTTGAAGTGACTCAATTTGCATATCACTCTTTTATTAGAACTAGAGGCCAGACACACAAAAATTTGGGCAAGAGTAGGCCTTCCTTCCCCCAGCTGCCAGCACTGGCTTCCCTCCAGTACTGGGACTCGGGCTTCCCTCCTCCAGCTGCCAGCAGGCATCTGGGACCCGGGCTGGCTTCCCCCAGGTTGCCCACACACACTTGAGACCCGGGCTGCCTTCCCCTCAGCTCTGGCTTCGTCAGGAAGAAATCTGGTCTAATTAGCATATTATCTTTTTACTATTATAGGTTATTGACTACTAGAGTGGTCTGTCCTTTTGCAGAGGCCCAGTGCATAAAATTCGTGCACAGGTATGGTCCCTAGGCCCAGCCTGCAATTGAAACTTGAGTGTCTGGTATGGAAGGGCAGGTCCCAGCTGACCTCTGGGCCCTGGGCAGCACTTCCTCCCTTTCCCACATGCCCCCTCCACCTAAGTCACAGCGCTTGAGTCCCCACACACAGATGCAGTGAGCGCGGCCAGACACTGCAGGCTGGAGCGCAGCATGGGCCTCTGGGCTGCCCAGCGGCACCACACGGAAGCTGGACAGCCAGAACACACTCTCCCAGTTGACCTCTCAGACTGGTTCCTGCGTGAACCCATGGGGAGCCCAACCGGCCCCTGCCATCCAGGCAGCTGCACCTGCTCACCAGACAGAGGCTGTGTGGGTGTGGGGTGGGCTCCTTATGGGTGCCTGGAACCTGAGGGCAGGAGCTTCCCCAGCATGCAAGCCCTGGTTTCCAGGGGAGGTGTAGCAGGGGGCGTGAGAGTGAGCTCGGCAGACACCCCACATTCTCACAGCACCTCTGTCCGTCATTCCCGCCCCCAGGTAGCTGGCGAGAGGTCACAGCCCCCTGCCCTAGTGCCACGGGAGATTGGTCGCCTCTACCCATGCCCAGATCCCCGTCCAAGCCCAGGACCCCAGCCCCAATCGGGTGATCAGGGCCTGCCAGCTGCTGGTTGCTGTCTGCAGGGGCAATTGGTCAGGGCTGGGCCCCCTGTCTAACGAGCTCCGCTCCCCACCTCCACCACTGGTTGCCATCTGTGGGGCGATGAGCAGGGCAATTGGGCCCCTGCCCACACGTGCCGTGGCCTGGCGCTACCCACTCACCTGCTCCACCATCCCAAGGCTGTCCTGCTCTTGTCAAGGCCCATTGGGGCCAGCAGTGCCTTCACTTCCAGCGCCATGTTGCTGACACCCACTGTGTTCTGCACTGCCCCCTTGTGGTTAGTGCACATCATAGCAAGTGGTCAAACTCCTGGTCGGACAGTTTGCATATTAGTCTTTTATTATATAGTATATTTTCTATGCTGTACACTACATTCTCTTGACTATTGTAACTACTAATAGTAGTTCTTAATCCCTTCACCTTTCACCTACTCCAACACCACTCATCTGAAAACCATTAAAATTTTCTCTATGAGTATTTCTGTTTTGCTTGTTAGTTTATTCTGTTTTTTAGATGCTACATATAAGTAAATCATATAGCATTTGTCTTTCTTTGTCTGACTTATTTTAATCAGCACATTACCTCCTATATTGTTGTAGGCAGCAAGATTTTATTCTTTTTTATGGCCGAGTCATATTTCATTGTATGTATGCAACACTTCTTTATCATTCATCTATTGATGGACACAGGTTGCTTCCATATCTTGGCTATTGTAAAAAATTCTGCAATGAACATATGGAAGTATATATCTTTCTTATTTGGTGTTTTGGGTTTCTTTAAGATAAATACCCATGCTCTCGCTGGTGTGGCTCAGTGGATAGAGCTGCAGATGGAAGGGTCCCAGGTTCAGTTCCAGTAAGAGCACATGCCCAGGTTCAGGCTCGATCCCTAGTAGGGGGCGTGCAGGAGGCAGCTGATCAGTGATTCTCTCTTATCATTGATGTTTCTATCTCTCCCTCCCTCTCTCTGAAATCAATAAAAATACATTAAAAATAAATACCCAGAAGTGAAATGGCTGGGTCTTTCTTTGTCTCTTGTTACATAGCCTTTGTTTGAAAGTCTGTTTTGTCTGGTATAAGTATTGCTACATAGCTTTTGGTTTGTTTGTTTCCATTTTCATAAAATACTAGAGGCCCAGTGCACAAAATTTGTGCACAGGGGTTGGGGTCCCTAAGCCAGGCCTGCACCCTCTCCATTCCAGAACCCCTACGGGATCAGGCTTAAACCAGCAGTTGAACATCCCTCTTGCAATCTGGGACTGCTGACTCCTAACCGCCCTCCCTTGCCAGCCTGGTCACCTCTAACTGCCCATCCCCCGGTCTGATCGCCCCTAACTGCTCTCTTCTGCTGCCTGATCTCCCCTAACTGCCTCTGCCTCAGCCCCCACCACCATGGCTTTGTCCAGAAGGGTGTCTGGAAGATGTCTAATTAGCATATTAACTTTGTATTAGTATAGATATTTTTTCCCTTTAACTTCAGTCTGTATCTTTCGATCTGAAGTATAGACTGCATGTGTAAGGGTCTTGTTATCCATTCAACTTCCATATGTCTTTTTGATTGAAGCATTTAACCTATTTCCATTTAAAATAATTGTTGATAGAAGAGTATTTATTGTCACTATATTAATCATGGTTTGTTTGTTTTTTGTCATTGTTCTTAATCCTCATCCAAGGGTATTTTTCCGTTGACTTTTAGAGGAAGTTAAAAGGAGAGGGAGAGACACACAGAGAGAAAGACTGATGTGAAAGAGACACATCAGTTAGTTGTATCATGCACACACTCTGACCAGGACAGGATTGAACCTGCAACCAAGGTATATGCCCTTGACTGGAAATGAACCCAGGACTCTTCAGTCTGAGAGCTCATGCTCTATCTATTGAGCCAAACCAGCTAAGGCTTATTCGCTTTTTGTTTTGTTTTATTAATCTTTTATTCTTCTTCTTTAAGAAGACTTTTTTGCTCTAGCCAGTTAGGTTCAGTGGATAGAACATCAGCCTGTAGACCAAAGGGTCCTAGGTTTGATTCTGGTCAAGGGCACTTACCTCCGTTGCAGGCTTCTCCCCAGCTCAGGCCCTGGTCAGGGCACATGCAGGAGACAGCCAGGTTATGTGTTTCTCTCCCATCAATATTTCTGTCTTTCCATGTCTCTTACACTCTAAAGTCAATGGGAAAATACCTTTGGGTGAGGATTAAAAAAAAAAAAAAAAAGATCCTTTTAACATTTCTTGTAATACTGGTTTGGTGGTGATGAACTCCTTTAGCTTTTTATTTTCTGGGAAGCTCTTGATCTCTCCTTCAACTCTGAATGATAGCTTTGCTGGGTAGAATAATCTAGGCTATAAGTCCTTGCTTTTTCATCATTTTGAATATTTCTTGCCAATTCCTTCTGGCTTGCAAAGTGTCTGTTGAGAAATCAACTGACAGTCTTACAGGAGCTCCCTTGTAAATAAATAACTACTTTTATATTGCTGCTTTTAAGATTCTCTTTTTGTTAATCCACACCTGAGAATTTTTTAAATTTCTTTATTGATTAAGGTATTATATGTGTGTATATATACATATATATACACATATATACTCATCTCCCCATTACCCCCCCTCCTCGAATATTTTTTTATTTTTATTTTTATTTTTTTTTATTTTTTTTTTAAGAGAGAGTGGAAAGGAGGAAGAGACACAAAAAGAGAAACATCAATTGGTAGTCTCCTGCACACAACCTGGCCAGGCCCAGGGATCCAGCCTACAACTCAGGTATGTGCCCTTGACTAGAATCAAACTGGGACACTTCCGTCCACAGGCCAAGGCTCTATCCATTGAGTCAAACCAGCTAGGGCAACAATAAAGATTTTTAAAATAAAAAGAATTTGTGGCAGCCTTGGCCTGTGTTCTTCAGTGGTTAGAGCATTGCCCTGTGAAAGGAAAGGTCACGGGTTCAATTCCAGATCAAAGGTTGTGGACTCCATCTCAAGGGTGAGTGCCAATCAACGATTTTTCTCTCATCATTGATGTTTCTCTCTCTCTTCCTCTCCCTTCCTCTCTGGAATCAATAAAAACAAAAAACAAAAACAAAAACACACACACAAAAAA